ATGGCGCGATATCATCAATGAAGGGGGCACCCAAATCAAAGGTCTTTTTGGAAAAGTGGCTGGATACTTTCAAGAGTTTGAATGCTTTAGTTCCGTTTCGACTTGAAGACGTAAATGGAAAAGGAAAGACTCCAAGGCAAGTCCATAATGAACAGTACCAAGCCCTGGTGAAAGGAATGTCTTCAAAAGGAGGATACGAATCACAATTGTTAGGTAACCATAATACAGTCATACAGTTAGAACGGGACCTCCACTCAAGGTAGAGAGAGAACCTGTAATTTGTAAGTCAAAAACGAAAGAGATTTTCTATGGTAATGTTCGAGGCTAAGTAAATAATCGGACTAGCCAAAGAGCCCTTTTTAATGAAGGCTAGCGCACATGAAAAATTACTCGATAACGTTTGATTACAATAACGTTATTGACTGAGTAAGTTTACGTCGTTGCATTATTTGGCTTGTTGTAATTTGGAAAGAACAATGGGACACTTCATACTAATTGATTGAGCGAGTGGACCGCATTCGTCATGAACATGAGTCACATATATTCCTGTCCGCTCTGACCTACATAAGTCAATAAGCATTTTATCGCACGACCATTTCTCTCTCTGTATCTTCCTTTCTACTTCAATTTTTCTTACGCATGCGCAAGGGTGAACCTGCTCGTGTCTCTTATTTTCCATCTCTATAACGAGGAGTTTTTGTTTTCAGTAAAAGCGCGCACACGATGGGGCACGAGTAACATCATAATCTGTACGATTTGCAACATCTTTACATCTGAGATGGTCAACTTCATCTCTTCTTTCTGGTGTAATTCCGGCCATATAAAAGTTTTCCACTGTTTACAACAAAACCTGACTTACTTTTATGCCGGGAAAGCGATAAGCTGGTTTAATATTTGCGTACTTTTCTTCCAACAGATGAACTTGCTAAGGCCCTGATCTACGCAGCTGAAGCTTATCACACCCGAGGCGCCATACGACATGTGGTGGGGGGCACACAAATGAAGGTGATTGATATATCGAAATCGCTTTCACTCATGGACCTGTGGGTGTCCATGATCGAAAACTGGGGAGAGTCAAACAAGGAGTTCAGCCATTGCCTCACGGCTCCTCTGGAGGTGTGCTTCCTTAAGATGAGTAAGTACCTGTGGAGGACGTTCAACGCCATGAATTTAATCCGCCCAAAAATAAAACAGAATCTCAGACCAGGTTTGGTGCACTTTGGAGGGGCTTATTCCGATCCTGAATACGCGATGAAAATGTGGCTTGACTATAAAAGGCAAGGAAAGACTGCCATTCCCAAGCAACAGAACCATGTTATGCAGTTTCTGCGACAATTCAAATGCGACGAAGCTCAAATCGGTCAGCCGATTTCGTCGACTTGCATGGAGAAGATGAATAANAGTAGAGAGAGTGGGAATTTGACAGCAGTGTCTCATCATAATGAGGTGTTTTACAAATTCAAGTCAAAGATACCGAATGGTTTTACTTGTGTCTTAAAAATACAATGTAAGGGCCTGCAAATTTCAGTGTCCTTTAGTAATTACTTTTTTGCTATTCAAAATGTGGTCCCTTTTGTTACTAAATAGTTTGGATACCTTGATCAATGAACATGACCTTCATGAGGGAGATTCTGATGTAGATTTTCTTCAAGAGTTAGGGCTTTTATTGATTCACAGAAATGCTTAAATTTTCAGGAGTAACCAATTTTTCCCTGCAATATCAAGATGACGAGTGAATAGAATAATAAAGTTACCATTACTTACCAAAGTAGAGGTGAATAGTGGCAAGGTAAATATCCACCACTTTCACTGACCCTGAGGTCTATCATTTAGTATATCCTACACAGATATGAAAAAATAGTGTCTTTCTTTCAATATACCAAAAAATTGCTCCAAAGTTTAATTCTTGATGCACGATTTTGTCTCATCTGCTGCTCAGAGGTGGATAGTAATTGCTATTCACTTCTGAACTAGCCTATCAGCATGCATGAAAAGCTCTATTCGCTTGTGTGATATAAATTATGAAAAAGAAAGACAAACATTAAAAATATCCACCAGTTTGATTTAAAACCAAATTCCAGATTTCCAAGAATTTTTAGGAGAAAAAGTCTTCTTCAAGGAATTTTCCAGTCCTGAGAAATTCTATAACAAATTTCAGGATGTTGTGGGTTTTTTTCTGGAACCTGTAGGAGCTCTGGGTCTGAATTTTCTACTTGTCTGAGGAAAATCAACTACATACTTAAGCAAAGAACCAGACAGTTTATGCCTAACCACTAAAGTGTTAGACCCAACAGGTGCATTTTAAGCTTGTAATGTTGAGTGCTATCTATGAAGCAATTTTTGTGTTTGATTTTTTTCTCCCAGACTGGCCACAGTAAGGTAGTGAAAGGTTTGCCGAGGCTTTATTAACTAAACTAAAATTTGAATTTATAGTCCAGACCTCTCAAGTCTCACGATTTTGTCATGAGACTCACGATTTTCAGTTCAATCTCACGGTCTCACGACGAGACAGACAAATCTCACGATAAATAGGGGCGCAAGCTGAAAGGATAAATTTTTTTGTATAATTTCATTTATGGCTTGCTGGCATGGAGGTAAGCTTTTTGTGCCAATTCTGTGCAAATCCGTAACAGTCCAAGCTGTTACGTTCTTCATCCGTCTGTTCGCTGGAAACACCGCGAGTCGTCCATGACCATATATAGAACACCTGTTCCAAATTAGGTCATCATAACCAGTCTCTCGCATTTTGACACGACACATTTTTAAAATGGCGGTATTTTTACGGGTTGTGTAGTATTATCCAACACGCCAAACTGTTGTTTCTGCGGGCGAATTTCGGGGATATTTATTTACGGGAGTGCGTGACAGAAGTATGAGAAGAGGAGCGGAATTGGCGCGTTGTTGTGTTGCTGTTTCTATTTTCTTCATTAAAAGAAGAAATTTCCTGGTCGTCGAGCTGTATTTCTTCCTTCCATTCATCAAATGAACTTGGATCTATATTTGCCAGCCATTCTGACTCTTCGACGTCGGAAATATGATTGAAATTGTCCGCCACTTTTTTTTCCCGTAACTACAATCCAATTCTTCGCTTGCGCGATGCGAGAAAACCAGTTTAACCGGTACTACAATAGACGAGTACAAATACCGCGTGATATTTCTACTCGTCTGTGGCGTTATTCGTACTCGTCTAGGTGTAGTTGGATAACAATTAAAGTTTATTTCTCTGTTGTTAAGGTCCTCACATGTTTTAAGTAAATCATGAGCAGGAAAAAGACACTTTCTCTCACTTTAAGAACCTGTGTTTACTTGGTTTTGTCTGCCGGTCGACCAATCTCCAGATTGTTTTACATCAGTCTCCAGAGTTTTGGTGTTTTGAGGTCTGTTTTACAAACAAATTTTTTACTGCGTCATAAAAAGTTCATTGATAATATTCAAAGGAAAGGAGATGTGCAACAAATGGACTGTGGTTGTAGCTACCTTGGGCTGCAAGAATACAGCCCTTCCAAAACGATTTTTGAGACAGGTTCCCGCAAAATCCTCCGCTGATTCTTGTTGTCAAGAGCCCAAACCATCAAATACGTTGAATTCCTTTGTTTACGTAATATAAGATTCCTCGTTACTTCTAGAGAATTATACGTCAAACTGCTCCTTCTGACCGCAATATTTAAAATGCTACTGTGTACTCTTACACCAAAACAGAGCACAAAGAACACGTGTCAACAGCAACAATCGATAAAATTTGCAATAACAATCAGACAGTAAAGCTGATCGTTGAGTATCAAAAACAGTGCAATCACAAAAGCATTTTACCCCTTAGTTTCTCACCTTGAAATGCTGTTTCCAGTTGTTAAATGGCAGTCGCCCTCGTGCGTTGAAAACAATACAACAAGACGAAATGAAGACGTGGTATATTGAAAAAAAGACCTTAAACGCCGCAAGTGACATTTCGCACTTTCAAAGTAACCGCGCTTGTGAGCGTGTTAGCCCGAAAGAACCTGGGAACTGAATGATGGGAAAGAAGTACAATTGGAATATGGAATACAGGATTTGGAATGTGGAACGAGTCGAAAAGAAGGCTAAAAAAGATAAATTGTGAACTATTATTGAGACTGTTCTCCATGTATTTGTCTAATAATCAAGAGCTCAGCTTGAGGTTGCAGTGCTTTCCTTTATTCTCACAAATCAATTAGAAGCTTTATTATTTCCATTTTGAAATCACTAGTGGTCTCTGTAATCTGATTGGCTCTAATTGGTGTGATTTATTCACGAATCCCACTATTTTTTGCTCTAAATCACATCATTTTACGCTTGACTGAGTTTTTGACACATGACGTCAGTCTTTCCGTTTTGCATACAAGATAAGATGTAAAAGCTTTTCCGGTTCCACTTATTATTTAAAAACTGGCTCAGTACTGTATCAGTAAAATATTTTAATTGACAAGGTCCTGTATTTGGGTGATTTCAAAATGAATGTAATAAAGTGGTAATTGAACCTTGTATCATGCAATTCTGGTCTGAAATCATACTTGTGATTTCAAATCAAACTCGTGCTGCACGCTTGTTCGATTTTGAAATCACGCGTATGATTTCAGCCCAAATTGCACTCCACTCAGTTCAATTACCATTATTAATCATTCTTTGATAATTATGTTTTACAACCTTCTGGAAATTTCTAAAAACATTTGAGTTAAAACAAAGTATGCTTCTTGCACAGAATGTATGACTTCTTGAAGCACTTGGCATACTTACAATTTTTTATTTCAAATAATTCTACGTAGCCTTCCTTTATCTTTTGGATTAAGTCAGGATATCATTTCTTCCTGGCTTAATTTGTTGTCGATTTGGGGAAGGGGAGGGCAGAGAAGGTACAGAAAATGTACAAAAGAAACTGCTGATATGGATTTTTTTTTCATCTAGGTGAATCTGTTCATTTGTTTAACTGAAACATAAATTTAATGATTGCTCCAACTATTCTTTCTTACAAACCTTCCAAGAGGTTCCTACATGTATTTGGGACATGTTTCAGCCCCAGCCTTATTTCAGGCTATCTTTATCATAATTATTATGTTTAAACACAATGAAATTTTTATTTTCCCAAGGTTCTTCCTTCCTTTTACATTGTCTTATACATACCTGAACATTATCTGAACACACATGCAGGTACACTAAGTGTATGACTGATCAACAAACATGAAGAGGATCTTCATTTACACATGACAGTGGTTAGGCAAGAGAGTAACCACAAGCTTTACTTGACCTTCAGGCATCATTGATCTCTTGAATAATGATGGGCCTGACCAGAAGGGAGGACAACAAGAGTATGACTATGATACCCAATGATAATGAATCCCACAACACAAGCAACAATCAACCCCATTCTACTCTTGGTAATTCAGGGTATCCCCCTGGAGGTGGTGGAAGTAGTGAAGGTGGCAGTTGCTGTGGAGGAGGAAGATTTGGTGGTAGGGTATAAGTTAACTGCAAAGCAGATTTTCCCGGTGCATCTTTAGATTCAACCTTTTCTTGCTTTCTGTTATATTTCTCGAGCCATTCTTCCAGTGTTGCCTGGGGTTGACCTGCTTGTGACTGATTTGATGTTTTTCCAGCTACAGAAAAATAACACATGTTCAGACTGGTAAGAGCAACGTTGACAAAAAGCTACTCAGAATAATACAGGAATACAGCAAGTTACTATATGGAAAGTTAAGATATCTAACAGAGACTACAACCTTTAAAGGTCCATAGACAAGAGTCCTATAGAGGAAGCCCTTCCTACTGCAACTATGCAATGTCATGCAAGGTCAGTCCACCAAACAAGAAATCTGAGATGATCACTTAATGTGACCATGAGAATAAATTCTTAGCAACCAGTCACAGATACATGCAATTTCATCCCTAATTAAATTTTTAAACTTTAACCTCAAATTCTGCCCACATAGAAAACAAATTTATATTATTCTGATGATTACTAGTGGGCTTGAAACTTGGGTAATAGCTATCTCCCTTTTAAGTTTATATGTTACAGTATCAATATTTTCTTTCTTACAATAAAGGTGAAAAGCAGCTGGAAAAGTACCCAATGCTATAAGCACCAGATTTAGCCAAAAGGACACCATATGTCAATTTTTCCATACAATAAAATGGAAAGCAAGTTGACTAAACAGGGCATCTGACAGGATGCGGTGGTGCGGATCCACATAATTCACCTACTTCCGCATCCTCCATATCCTTGGGGCATTTTCCCGCATAAAACTGGAAAATTTCTACCTATAAGCGAGAAAGCAACTGCTTACCATCCTCAGAAGCAAAAATACCGAAAAGATTGATCATTTTGAAACTTATTCACTCAAGTTATTCACCCAAAACAGCGACAAAAACATGCCTTTCGTTCATAAACAATTTTAAACCGCCAGGCGTTGCATTCATCTTCTGGTGATGGGCCTAGGTTCTACTGTTGTTTTAACATTTTGGGACTTCCGGTGTCCAGTTTTCCTCGTCCGATTTAATGGCTGGTTACTAAGCTTCGGACAAACTCAACAACAAAAACTATGAAAAAACTGTGTTGAAAGAAGACATACCTGTCCATGAATGGCAGCAAAAGGTCAAACATGTCATAAAGGACTAAAATTTTCGGTAAGACGTAATGTGTGTTTTATATGTTAGAAAAAGCCAAGGGAACAACTTGATTGAGTTTTAGAAATTTCCACATAATCTGGCATCTTTTCCGCCTAATCGTCACTTTCTTCCGCATAATATTGCCCAAAATTTCTGCATAAATTTCCATTTTTTTCCGCACCCTAACAGATGGTCTGACAAATTCATTTTTTCTCTACTACTCACAAGAATAAAGAAAAAATAATTTCATGAACTTAGATGTCCTTTCTGAAAAAGTCTTTATTTGAAGACTTGAATTAAAGCTTTTCAGGTTTCAAGAAGGTCACACTCCATCACATAGTTTTAGTGTTTAGTGATACATGAACATGTAAGTAGTTGAACAAAGGTTTAAATACACTGGGAAAGAAGAGTTCAAAACAGACTTGGCACAGAGTCTTTACAATCACCCATCCCAGTACGGACAGGGAAAGGAATATGTTCTCCTGTAAGGAAACAAGTTCAAAGATTTGGATATGGACTGGTAAGGATGGGGGCAAAACTTGTTTCACTCCAGGGGGACAAACTTGCAATGGGGTGAAACCTCCTGATACCCAAGATTATTATTTCTAACAAGCCATGATTTGAAAAGTATTAAACATGGAAAGACCATTATTTGTGCCCCAAAGAAATGGAATAAAAAGTACATCAAATGATAATATACCTTTTTGTGCCACATGCTCAAAATAATTATATCCACTTTATTTTATGTAAAAACACTGTATGTGCAAAAGTTTCGCCTTACTTGTGCCTTGAGTTGCTAACAACATTTGTGCATTTGTATGAGAATACCAACAGTTAGCACCAAATCCACATGTTCCTACAGAAATAAGTTTTAAAAATGAAAAGGGTTATAAAGTACAGTTATGAATAATAATTATGAAGTCTTCTGCAACATAGACTACTGTTATTATCTCAATCAATTCGTTTGATATATACTAAAGCAAAATGTCCAGTTTTAGGCCTCAATAAAGGTTAAGATATCCTGTTCTTACCTGTAGACTTCATTAATAGAACCTCTTATCCACCTTACTAGTCTTTATCTCAAAATTAACTAAGTTTGGTTAGATTTCTGTCATATACAACTATTTCATCCTATGCAAAACATAAAGTAAGAAGCTTGTTAAAATTCTAACTACCTAGCCCCTTCAGCTTGAACTAATCTAAATAGTAAAAAAGTGAGATACTTTTCATGGTTACAAATGGCTGTGTACCATCTCTGAATTAATTGTGAGTTAAAATGGCATCCAAGTAATAATAATTTTTAATCTAGATTCGTGTTCCCTTAATTGACCTTTTGACCCTGCAAGGGACTAGCATCTAATTTCTCCTTACAATATCACCACTACAGGGGCGTAGCCAGGAATTTTAAAGGGGGGTCACAGAGGCTACTCACCAGATAGTCATGTCGACCTCCCCGCCGTGCATGTTTTACTTAATGTTACAGTTTTGGGATGAGCAGTGAGAGTGTAGTGGGCAGGCCAAGATATTGTCATGGCGTTTTCACCACCTGAATATTGTAGGTTGTTTGCTCAAAAGAAGGCCTACCAAGGAAGGGAGGGGGTCACAGGCACCCCAGGACCCCCCTGGCTACGCCCTTGCACTGAATCAAGCATTAAGGTCACAGGAATATAAGAAATGATCACTAACTAAAGAAGCCCTTCATTGTAAAGAAATTCTCATTTTCAACACCTCAGGAAATGTAAAGAAAGCAGCATAGAGAATTATGCATACTGATGGTGGGATGTAATGGGTTTAAGAATATAATTATAACTTATCTAAAACAGAGGATAATGCAATGCTTAGGAAAGAGTACCATGTAACCCCATACATTAATTATGCATTCCACTTCTTTGTCTTTCGCGACAAAACTTTAAAAACAAAGTCTACTAGTCTGAATGCATAATTAATTTTCGGGGTTATATCATTGGTACTCTTGCCCAATGCTTATTTAAAGTCATTGTGACCTTAATTCAACAAGGAAAAATATGATCGGCTCACCAGTAGCAAAAAATTTTCGACAGGGTGGTTTACTGGTTTCCTCAGCCAAGAGAACTGCAGGATCTGTACGTACATGTAAATTGACAAAATTAGGCGAAAAAAAAAAAAACACAATCGTGCATGTACTGTCCTAAAATTACCCATTCACACAAGTTTAAACTGACCAACCCTGATGAAATAGTTGCTTGTTCGCATGAGAATCGCAAAAATTATCAGTTTAGCTGTTCCTACCTTTGAATGAATCATAGTGAAGCTTCCGATTTCGCTTGTGTTGCACGCCATTGATATGATTTTTTCTCGTATGCAGAGTATCAGCGAAAGATCGGTTACAATATTCACAGTGGTATCTTTTACCCATCCTTTATAACCAAAAAGAACACTGAATTATCTCATCCAAGCTTGAACCGAAGTGTCGCGGCCATCGTACTTAGCGACCGCTCCGACTCTAAACATTGTAACCCGGCCAGAAGTTTTGGGCGGTGCATGGGAAAGGAGGGGACTAAGACTTGAATTAACCCTCCCTAAAGCAATTAAAATTATATTTCAAAGAAACATTGTAATACTGGTTGAAAATCAAAATGGAGTGGCCTTCAGAAGCAGACCAGCCATTTACAGAATGTAGCCAATTCACAAAGGTTAAACCTCGAGGCGAACAAGAGGGATAATTTAATCGGCTTTCGAACAACCGGGGCCAGACTAATAAGCATAGTTGGAAAGATGGAACTCGCGTGCGCGTGAAGGAAGAACTAACTCGTCCCAATGCTAGTTGTGTATTTGAACCGTAAGTGGATCAAGAATTGATTATTGTGATATTGAGACTTAAATTCTATGAATATTCGAGAGAATTGTTATGACCAATTATAGCGTTTGGCTCAAGAACAAGGGGGAGCGAGACTCTTCTTCAGTACTTCTCAGTATTCAGCTAACTGATCAACTCAGTTAATCACGTCAAATTTTATCCACGTCCTTTGGGTTATAAGCCTCTTGATCTTGGAGGATTAAAGCTCTCTGTAAAATTACTAATCCAAATATTTGGACAAGGTTTGTAGCGTAGAATATTAAAATATTCTACGCTATGTAAATATATCTTATTAACCAAGCGCGAGGGCCGTACTGGTAAAATATCGGCCCAAGGTCTTGACAGTACGGACCGAGCGCAGCGAGGTCCGTATATAAAAGACCGAGGGCCGATATTCTTCCAGTACGGTCCCGAGCAAGCCTGGTTAATAAGAGATTTATTATACGACTGAAGTTCAAATGGATACAAGTACGGTATCATTCGGGACCATTCGGGACAGTGCCCGGTCCAATACTAAGAGAATATTGACCGGCAATAGAGCATTTTGATTGGTTGATTTTAGACTGCCCGAGTCGTGTAATAAGGTCGATTATTGAAAACAGAAAGCACAAATAGGAATTACATTGTTGGTCCAAACCAAGGCTAAGAGACAAACTCGAAACAAGCACACCACTAGCCAAAACACAGACAAGAACTTGATTGTTCCTGTTGTTCATCACAAATATACTTACTATTTTTGAACAATTTGGTAATGAGGATAAACAAGTTCAAAGCTAAACAGCTGGCCCTGATGACACACTAATCGGGAAGTGTAACGCAGGGCTAGATCTACCTCTTGGACAACTAACTTCACAACAGAGTGTGGTCTTGAAAGCTCGAAATATCCAGAAAAAAATTACATTTAATTTAGTATACTGTAAGTCTGTGACACTAACGGTTCATGATCAGGCGGAACACAGCGTCCAGTTCTTGACGACAAAAAACTTTTGGAGACTACTACAAAAAATGCCCTGAAAATTCCCGGAATAACATGACCCAGCACATTTCCCACTCAACTTTTTTTCCTCCTCGTAGAAAATCTCTCTCAGGATGCAACATTCTGATGAAAGTGATGCGAAAAGCAGTTGTACTACGCTGCTGCTATCTTACGATCAGAGATAGTCCAGGCTTAAAAGTTAGTGGGAGACAAATAAGGAGTAAAACTACAGTGCGGAAATGATAACATTCCTTTCTTTATGTACCTGCAAAAGGTAAGGAAATGCCTTGTTGTCGAGGATATGGGGATTTAATGCGGTGGGGTTTGGGCCATACCCGTTGACCAGTAATGATATTAAAAAAAGTCATAAATTGTTTTACTTTGGAGACCAGTGATCCTCATGGCGGGCTCATTTTGATTTCGCAACGAGTCAAAAATGAAGAAAGCAAACGTTATATTGATCTTCCTCATGCGTGTTCCCCGAGTGAATCCTTTATTATTACCAATTTCGCGAATCATTACTGTACACATGTTGCTACAGTCACTCTGATTTTGGACTTCCTTAAACCTTGGCCGATGTCCAGTTTCGGAGGATATCCTATTCATGATAGGTAGCAGGCGATTTTGGACGACGCGCATCTAACTTATGGCGGCGTCAGTTTATGGACGGCGCCCATATTTTCGTTTTTTTTTTTTTACATTCGACGAGTGCCAACGTTTGATGGATTTGAACAGCGTCCCTTTTTGGATCGCAACTATATTTGGGTGTCTACGCACTTCGGACGGTCTTCGTTTTCAGGAGGTGTCTTATCATAAACAACGACGGTCTGGTTAACGGACGGACAGTGAGGCCATATAATGGAGTCGGATGCAAAACGGAGGCTGGCTGAGTCACTTAGAGGTTTAACCACATGGTGCAACTTCCCAAGAGTCAATGAGGTAACTCGATATTAAACTTAAGAATGACACCAAAAATTCGGTGAAGTTAGCACTTGACAATAATCGAACTGACATTCTCTAACAATGAACGTCACTTGTGGCAGGTTTATGTTTGTTCTGGGGACCAGCTAACCAAAGTTAGTTGTTTAGTTGAGGGGCAGCGAGCTGAACGAAAGTGTCAGAATTTTACTGGATTGAATAACGGCTAAAACTATCAAAGTTGGCTCATTAACGCAAATTATAGCTCGAGGGCTTTTCCTCAAAGAAATTAATAGGATCCATAGGCTTCCCTTCTTTCTCCAGAGGTAAGTAAGCTGTACAGTTTTCTTCGCGAAAAAAGAGCGCGCAAAAAGGTAACAACAGGAAATTTGCTAAGGAAACATATTAACTCGTTGTTTTATTTCATTGGCATTAAGCGAATCAATTAAAGGACATCTTGTGAGCTTAGATCCGTATCTCGATTATAAGAAAAATGATTTTATCCTCCTGGGAGGTGCGACCAATTTTGTGAAGTTTTTCAGCGTTCATGGTGAAACAATTTACAAGAGTTTTGTATAGTACGTAGAAAAACTAACTTCAACACATTCTGAGTTTTTTCATTCGAGTGATTGAAATTAAAAAAAAGAAATTTGGATGGATTAGCCTTGGAAGAGAAAATGTAACTAATACCAAAGCGAGACTTAACTGTACCGGCATTCAAAAGTGGTGACTTAAAAAGAAAGGTCAACCTTGACTTTCCCCCTCCCCGTTGTGTAAGAAATCAGCCGTGTCAAGAATAATTTGAGAGGGTTATCTCGCGACAAGCCGATGTCCATTTGTACACATATTCTTGATTCCCAAATTCGTGTTTAAATCCTCGTAAAAGTTGTTTTTATATCCCAGCTGCATGTTCTTTTATTTTGTTGTGCCTTATATTCTACAAGATGTGCATATACTTCATAAAC